TCTGTTGGACTAAGCCTCTGTGTCCTGCGCCTGACTCCTACACCACATCCACATCAGTTCCTGACACTTGGCTATATACACGGGTTACCAGTACCCGAGTCGATGTGCAGGGGTACGAGATCATTCAGGTAGATATGTACATACAGTGGGGAAAAAAAGTATTTAGTCAGCCACCAATTGTGCAAGTTCTCTCACTTAAAAAGATGAGAGAGGCCTGTAATTTTCATCATAGGTACACGTCAACTATGACAGACAAAATGAGAAAAAAAAATCCAGAAAATCACATTGTAGGATTTTTCATGAATTTATTTGCAAATGATGGTGGAAAATAAGTATTTGGTCAGTAACAAAAGTTTCTCAATACTTTGTTATATACCCTTTGTTGGCAATGACACAGGTCAAACGTTTTCTGTAAGTCTTCACAAGGTTTTCACACACTGTTGCTGTTATTTTGGCCCATTCCTCCATGCAGATCTCCTATAGAGCAGTGATGTTTTGGGGCTGTCGCTGGGCAACACAGACTTTCAACTCCCTCCAAAGATTTTCTATGGGGTTGAGATCTGGAGACTGGCTAGGACACTCCAGGACCTTGAAATGCTTCTTACGAAGCCACTCCTTCGTTGCCCGGGCGGTGTGTTTGGGATCATTGTCATGCTGAAAGACCCAGCCACGTTTCATCTTCAATGCCCTTGCTGATGGAAGGAGGTTTTCACTCAAAATGTCATGATACATGGCCCCATTCATTCTTTCCTTTACACGGATCAGTCGTCCTGGTCCCTTTGCAGAAAAACAGCCCCAAAGCATGATGTTTCCACCCCCATGCTTCACAGTAGGTATGGTGTTCTTTGGATGCAACTCAGCATTCTTTGTCCTCCAAACACGACGAGTTGAGTTTTTACCAAAAAGTTATAATTTGGTTTCATCTGACCATATGACATTCTCCCAATCCTCTTCTGGATCATCCAAATGCACTCTAGCAAACTTCAGACGGGCCTGGACATGTACTGGCTTAAGCAGGGGGACACGTCTGGCACTGCAGGATTTGACCTGGCGGCGTAGTGTGTTACTGATGGTAGGCTTTGTTACTTTGGTCCCAGCTCTCTGCAGGTCATTCACTAGGTCCCCCCGTGTGGTTCTGGGATTTTTGCTCACCGTTCTTGTGATCATTTTGACCCCACGGTGTGAGATCTTGCGTGGAGCCCCAGATCGAGGGAGATTATCAGTGGTCTTGTATGTCTTCCATTTCCTAATAATTGTTCCCACAGTTGATTTCTTCAAACCAAGCTGCTTACCTATTGCAGATTCAGTCTTCCCAGCCTGGTGCAGGTCTACAATTTTGTTTCTGGTGTCCTTTGACAGCTCTTTGGTCTTGGCCATAGTGGAGTTTGGAGTGTGACTGTTTGAGGTTGTGGACAGGTGTCTTTTATACTGATAACAAGTTCAAACAGGTGCCATTAATACAGGTAAAGAGTGGAGGACAGAGGAGCCTCTTAAAGAATAAGTTACAGGTCTGTGAGAGCCAGAAATCTTGCTTGTTTGTAAGTGACCAAATACTTATTTTCCACCATAATTTGTAAATAAATTCATTAAAAGTCCTACAATGTGATATTCTGGATTTTTTTTTCTAAATTTGTCTGTCATAGTTGACGTGTACCTATGATGAAAATTACAGGCCTCTCTCATCTTTTTAAGTGGGAGAACTTGCACAATTGGTGGCTGACTAAATACTTTTTTTCCCCACTGTATAGGTAGGGATAAAGTGACTAGGCAACAGGATAGCTAAAAATCAGTAACAGCAGCTTATGTGATGAGTCAAAAGAGATTAGTGTAAAAAGGGTCAATGCAGATATTCCGGGTAGCTATTGGTTAACTATTTAACTAACTATTTAGCAGTCTTATAGCTTGGGGGTAGGAGCTGTTCAGGGTCCTGTTGGTTACAGACTTGGTGCATCGGTACCGCTTGCCGTGCTGTAGAATAGAGAACAATCTACGACTTGGGTGGCTGGAGTCTTTGACAATATTTAGTGCCTTCCTCTGACACCGCCACGTAGAGGTCCTGGATGGCAGTTAGCTTGGTCCCAGTGATGTACTGGGCCGTACGCACTACCCCCTGTATCATCTTGTGGTCGGATACCAAACAATTGCCATACCAAGCGGTGATGCAGCCAGTCAAGATGCTCTCAATGATGCAGCTGTATAACTTTTTGATGACCTCAGGGCCAATGCAGAATCTTTTCAGCCTTCTGAAGGGGAAGAGGAGGAAAGAGGCGTTGTCGTGCCCTCTTCATGACTGTCTTGATGTGTGTGGACCATGATAGTTCGTTAGTGATGTGGACACCGAGGAACTTGAAGCTCTCGACCTGTTCCACAACAGCCTCGTTCCACAACAGCCCCGTCGATGTGAATGGGGAGGTGCTCGGCCCTCGGTTTCCTGTAGTCCACAATCAGCTCCTTTGCCTTGCTGATGTTGAGGGATAGGTTGTTGTCCTGGAACCACGCTGCCAGGTCTCTGACATCCTCCCTGTAGGCTGTCTCATCATCGGTGATCAGGCCTACCACCATCCTGTCGTCTGTAAACTTAATGATGATGTTGGAGTGTGCGCGGCCACACAGTCGTGGGCGAACAGGGAGTACAGGAGGGGACTAAGAACCCATGAGGGGCCCCCGTGTTGAGGGTCAGTGTGGCGGACGTGCTAGTGCCTACCTTCACCACCTGGGGGTGGCCCGTCAGGATCCAGTTGCAGAGGGAGGGGTTTATTCCCAGGGTCCTTAGCTTAGTGATGAGCTTCGAGGGCACAATGATGTTGAATTCTGAGCTGTAGTCAATGAACAGCATTCTCACATAGGTGTTCCTTTTGTCCAGAAGGGAAAGGGCAGTGTGGAGTGCAATAGAGATTGCGTCATCTGTGGATCTGTTGGGGTGGTATGTGAATTGGAGTGGGTCCAGTGTGTCTGGGATGATGGTGTTGATGTGAGCCAGCCTTTCAAAGCATTTCATGGCTACAGATGTGAGGGCTTTAGGGCAATAGTCATTTAGACAGGCTACCTTGGCTTTCTTGGGACAGGGACTATGGTGGTCTCCTTGAAACATGTAGGTATTATAGACTGGGTCAGAGAGAGGTTGAAAATGTCAGTAAAGACACTTGCCAGCTGGTCAGCGCATGTTCTGAGTACGTGTAATGGTAATCCGTCTGGCTCTGTGGCATTGTGAATGTTAACTTGTTTAAAGGTCTTACTCACATCGGCTACGGAGAGCATGATCACACAGTCGTCCAGAACAGCTGGTGCTCTCATGGATAGTTCAGTGTTGCTAGCCTCGAAGCACGCATAGAAGGTATTTAGCTCCTTTGGTAGGCTAGTGTCACTGGACAGCTCGCGTCTGGGTTTCCCTTTGTAATCCGTGACAGTTTGCAAGCCCTACACATCCGACAAGCGTCAGAGCCGGTGTAGTAGGATTCGATCTTGGTCCTGTATTGACACTTTTTCTGTCGGAGGGCGTAGCGGGATTTCTTATAAGCGTCTCGGATTAGTGCCCCGCTCATTGAAAGTGGCAGCTCTAGCCTGTAGCTCAGTGAGGATGTTGGCTGGAATCCATGACTTCTGGTTGGGATATGTATGTACGGTCACTGTGGGGACAACGTCGATGCACTTATTAATAAATTCCTCAATGCCATCGGATGAATCCTGGAACATATTCCAGTTTGTGCTAGCAAAACAGTCCTGTAGCTTAGCATCCACTCCATCGGACCACTTCCGTATTGAGTACTTTACGTTTGAGTTTTTGCTTGTAAGCAGGAATCAGGAGGATAGAGTTATTGTCAGATTTGCCAAATGTAGGGCCAGGGAGAGCTTTGTATGTATCTCTGTGTGTGGTGTAAAGGTGATCTAGTTTTTTTTCCCTCTGGTTGCATATTTAACATGCTGATAGAAATGAGGTCAAACGGATTTTAGTTTTCTTGCATTAAAGTCACCGGCCACTAGGAGCACCGCCTCTGAGTGAGCATTTTCTTGTTTTCTTATGGCCCTATACAGCTCATTGAGTTTTGACTTAGTGCCAGCATCGGTTTGTGGTGGTAAATAGACAGCTACGAAAAATCTAGATGAAAACTCTTTGGTAGATAGTGTGGTCTACAGCTTATCATGAGATATTCTAATGCAGGCGAGCAGAATCTCGAGACTTCCTTAATATTAGAGATTGCGCACCAGTTGCTGTTAACAGAGACACACACCCCCTCCTCCTGAGCTTCCCCGACGCAGCCGTTCTGTCCTGCCGATATATAGAAATACCAGCTAGATTTATATTTACCATATCCTTTTTCAGCTACAACTTGGAGAAACACAGGATATTACAGTTCTTTAGATCACGTTGATAAGATAGTATCGAACGGAGCTTATTCAGTTTATTCTCTAGGGATTGCACATTCGCCAATAGAACGGAGGGTACAGGTGATTTATCCACGTAGTCTCATCAGGTATCCCACACGCCGGCCTCTATAGCGCCGTCTCCTCCTTCTTCGAGTGTCGGGGATTTGGGCCTGGTCCGTGATAATCAATATGTCTTTCGCCTCCGACTCATTGAAGTAGAGGTCCTCCTCCAAATGGAGGTTAGTGATAGCTGTTCTGATGTCCAGAAGGTATTTTTGGTCATGAAATAGAGAGCATGCTGGGAAATAAGATATATGGTTCTATGTAGAACCCTTCTTGCCTTCCAAAGAATCCATCTTGCCTTCCAAAGAATCATCAAATAACCCTTTCTTCCAAAAACGGTTCTAGGTAGAACCCTTTGCCTTACAAAGACTCCTTCTCTTCCAAAAGGGGTCTTCAGATCAAAACGGTTCTTGGTAGAACCCTATCCCTCCGCAAAGAACCATTTCGGAACCTTTTTTCTAAGAGTGCAGCCTATGCTGGTCTATGCTGGGGGGTTTTCAGCAGGGACACGGCTTAGGTTTTCCTAGAGGGGCTATGACAAAGCATTAAAATATCCTCCTCTCTTCTCCCAGCCCAGTGGGAAAGGAAAGCGTCTCCCTGAAGTCTATTGCATCGTCAGCCACTTGGGATGCTTCCACCTCTTCTCCAAGGTATAGTATACTGTACATCAGCCTCCTGGTTGCCACCTCTCATCCTGTATCCCATCAAACCCAGGATTCGAGCTGGCAACTCTTCCATTACTGGCCCGTCTCTCTAACCTCTAGGCTACTTGCTGACCTCTCTGTCCTGCCCTGTGTGTGTGTCCGCCAGGTCCTGGATGAGGTGGAGAGGAGGAGGGCCCTGTCTCCAGCCCTGGTCCAACCCTTCATGAGGGCCATTATGGAGGCTCCGTTTCCTGCCCCTGGCAGACCCATCACCATAAAAACCTTCCTGCCCGGATCTGGTACTGAGGTAGGTCCTCGATTTTACGTTATTCTCCAAAGAAGACCTCCAATAATATTACATACAGATGCCATGCAAAGTCTTTGAGTTGAAGAGTTCTTTGCTGCGTCCGTTTTGTATTACTTAGTAAAATATATCTCACTCTCCATTCTCTTTGTCTCTCTCTCCTCTTCTCACTCTCTGTCTTTCTCTCTCTGTCACCCCCTGTCTGTTTATCTCTCCCCCCCTTCTTTCTACCCCCATCTCCTGTCTCAGGTAATGGAGCTGTGTCGTCCATCTGACTCTCGTCTGGAGCACGTGGACTTTGAGTGTCTCTTCTCCTGTCTGAGTCTGCGTCTGCTACTCAGGGTCTTTGGTTCTCTCCTGCTGGAACGTAGGGTCATCTTCACTGCAGACAAACTCAGGTGTGATGCCATTAGCCTGATAGGCTACTCAGCACTTTATGGCATAGTTAATAAGTAGAAATCAAAACAATTTGATGTATTATTTTACAATTATATTTTATTTCAAAGCAGCCACAAAGCATCCCCAAAGATGGTAGTATAGCTGGGACTGTGGATTTTATAGCTGAGAGGAAAAACACAAGAGACAGAATAAACAGAGAAAATAAAATAGTGGCACAGCCTCATGGTTCAAATGTTTTTCTTCAATGTGACAGGGAGATATTGAGTGAAGCCTGCTGTTGTGTTGATTCTGTCCCTTTTAGAAACTGTTTATTTCTCTTTGGAAAATGCCTGTGAGAGCCAGAGATGGCTAGGGCCACTGGGGTCAGTGTGCTTCTACACCTGCATTACTAGCTGTTTGGGGTTTTAGGCTGGGTTTCTGTACAGCACTTCGAGATATTAGCTGATGTAAGAAGGGCTATATAAAATAAAATTGATTGATTGATTGATAGTAGAAGAGAGGTACGCAGAGTGGAATGACATAGTTGTCCTAGAGTTGGGTTCCCCAACTGGCGGCCCACGGGTGATTATGATCATTTTCTTTTACATTGTTGGACATAAAAGACTGTAAAACACCAGCAAATTAGGAAATATATTCCAAAGTATTCCCATGCATAATAGAGAGGTATACACTGAGTATACGATACATTGCAGCCCCCCCCACCCCACCCCACACACACGCATCCTTTTTGCCCTCAGAACAGCCTCAATTGGTCGGGCATGGACTATAAAAGGTGTCGAAAGCGTTCCACATGGGTGCTGGCCCATGTTGACTCCAATGTTTCCCACATCTGTGTCAAGTTGGCTGGATGTCCTTTGGGTGGTGGACCATTCTTGATACACATGGGAAACTAATGAGCAGGAAAAACCTAGCAGCGTTACAGTTCTTGACACAAACTGGTGCGCCTTGCACCTACTAACATACCCCGTTCAAAGGCACCTAAATATTTTGTCTTGCCCATTCACCCTCTGAAAGGCACATATACACAATCCATGTCTCAATTATCTCAAGGCTTAAAAATCCTTCTTTAACCTGTCTCCTCCACTTCATCTACACCGTTTGAAGTGGATTTAACAAGTGCCATCAATAAAGGATCCTAGCTTTCACTTGGATTCACCTGGTCAGTCTATGTCATGGAAAGAGCAGGTGTTTTGTATACTCTGTGTATGTGATCATATATAAATGTAAGCAAGGTTTGAAATGATTGGGTTTTAGTCAAATATTATATATGCTTGGGCTTCTTGTGGTCAATTTCCAGTCTACATATTTTTTGTAATTATGTTCCGGACCCCTGACCATCTGCTCAAAATCAAATCAAATCAAATGTAATTGGTCACATACACATATTTAGCAGATGTTATTGAGGGTGTAGCGAAATGCTTGTGTTCCTAGCTACAACAGTGCAGTGGTAACTAACAATTCACAACAATACACACAAATCTAAAAGTAAAATAATGGAATTAAGAAATATATAAATATTAGGACGAGCAATGTCTGAGTGGCATTGACTAAAAGTACAGTATATACATATGAAATGAGTAAAACAGTATGTAAACATTATTGAAGTGTATAGTGTTCCATTTAAAGTGACCAGTAATTCCATGTCTATGTACATAGGGCAGCAGCCTCTAAGGTGCAGGGTTGAGTAACCGGGTGGTAGCCGGCTAGTGATGGCTATTTAACAGTCTGATTGATAGCCTTGAGATAGAAGCTGTTTTTCAGTCTCTCGGTCACAGCTTTGATGCACCTGTACTGACCTTGCCTTCTGGATGATAGCGGGGTGAACAGGCTATGGCTCAGGTGGTTGATGATTGAGTGCTGTAGGTGTCCTGGAGGGCAGGCAGTGTGCTCCCGGTGATGTGTTGGGCAGACCGCACCACACTCTGGAGAGCCCTGCGGTTGCGGGCGGTGCAGTTGCCGTACCAGGCGGTGATACAGCCTGACAGGATGCTCTCAATTGTACATCTGTAAAAGTTTGTGAGGGGACAAGCCACATTTCTTCAGCCCCCTGAGGTTGAAGAGGCACTGTTGCGCCTTCTTCACCACAGTCTCAATGTGGGTGGACCATTTCAGATTGTCAGTGATGTGTACACTGAGGAACTTTAAGCTTTTCACCTTCTCCACTGCGGTCCCGTCGATGTGAATAGGGGCATGCTTTCTCTGTTGTCTCCTGAAGTCCACGATCAGCTCCTTTGTTTTGTTGACGTTGAGGGAGAGGTTATTTTCCTGGCACCACTCCACCAGGGCCCTCATCTCCTCCCTGTAGGCTGTCTCATCATTGTTGGTAATCAGGCTTACTACTGTTGTGTCGTCTGCAAACTTGATGATTGAGTTGGAGGCGTGCGTGGCCACGCAGTCATGGGTGAACAGGGAGTTCAGGAGGGGGCTGAGCACGCACCCTTGTGGGGCCCCTGTGTTGAGGATCAGCGTAGTGGAGGTGTTGTTTCCTACCTTCACCACCTGGGGGCGGCCCGTCAGGTAGTCCAAGACCCAGTTGCACAGGGCGGGGTTCAGACCCAGGTCCCCGAGCTTAATGATGAGCTTGGAGGGTACTATGCTGTTGAAGTCTGAGCTATAGTCAATGAACAGCATTCTTACATAGGTATTCCTCTTGTCCAGACGGGATAGGGCAGTGTGCAGTGCAATGGTGATTGCATCATCTGTGGATCTATTGCGGCAGCATGCAAATTGAGTGGGTCTAGGGTGTCAGGTAAGGTGGAGGTGATATGATCCTTAACTAGCCTCTCAAAGCACTTCATGATGACAGAAGTGAGTACTACGGAGTGATAGTCATTTAGTTCAGTTACCTTTGCTTTCTTGGGCACAAAAACAATGGTGGACATCTTGAAGCATGTGGGGACAGCAGACTTGAATAGGGAGAGGTTGAATATGTCCGTAAACACTCCAGCCTTCTGGTCTGCGCATGTTCTGAGGACGCGGCTAGGGATACCGTCTGGACCGGCAGCCTTGCGAGGGTTATCACGCTTAAATGTCTTACTCACGTTGGCCACGGAGAACGAAAGCCCACAGTCCTTGGGAGAAGACCGCATCAGTGGCACTGTGTTATCCTCAATGCAGGCAAAGAAGGTGTTTAGCTTGTCCGGGAGCAAATGTCTGTGTCCGCGAAGTGACTGGTTTTCCCTTTGTAATCTGTGATTGTCGGTAGACCCTGCCACAAATGCCTTGTGTCTGAGCCATTTCATTGAACCTCCACTCTGTCACTGTACTGACGTTTTGCCTGTTTGATTGCCTTACGGAGGGAATAATTACACTGTTTGTATTCGACCATATTCCCAGTCTCCTTGCCATGGTTAAATGCGGTGGTTGAGGCTTTCAGTTTTGCACGAATACTGCCATCTATCCAAAGTTTTTGGTTTGCGTAAGTTTTAATAGTCACAGTGGGAACAACATCCCCTATACACTTCCTGAGGAACTAATTCACGTGTCCATGTATACGTCAATGTTATTCTCAGAGGCAACCCGGAACATATCCCAGTCTGCGTGATCAAAACAATCTTGAAACATGGATTCTGATTGTTCAGACCAGCATTGAATAGACCTTAGCACGGGTACTTCCTGTTTGAGATTCTGCCTATAGGAAGGGAGGAGCAGAATGGAGTTGTGATCTGATTTGCTGAAGGGAGGGCGGGGGAGGGCCTCGTAGCCATCCTGGAAGGGAGAGTAACAATGGTTGAGAGTTTTTGTTGCGCGAGTACTAGAGGCAATGTGTTGATAGAACTTCGGAAGCGTTTTCCTCAAATTTGCTTTGTTAAAATCCCCAGCTACAATAAATGCGGCCTCAGGTTATGTGGTTTCCAGTTTGCACAAAGCCCAGTGTAGTTCCTTGAGGGCCATCGTGGTATCGGCTTGAGGGGGATATACATGGCTGTGACTATAACTGAAGAGAATTCTCTTGGGTGGTAATACCGTCGACATTTGATTGTGAGATATTCTAGGTCAGGTGAACAAAAGGACTTGAGGTCCTGTACATTATCACAATCACACCACACCTTTCTTCTTCCCAGAGAGTTCTTTATTCCTGTCTGCGCGATGTACTGAGAACCCAGCTGTCTGTATGGACGGAGACAGTATTTTCAGAGAGAGCCATGGTTCCGTGAAACAGAGTATGTTACAGTCCATGATGTCTCTCAGGAAGGAGATCCTCGCCCTGAGCGTGTCTACTTTATTGTCCAAGGACTGAACATTAGCGAGTAAAACACTCGGAAGCGGTGGATTGTGTGCACGCCTCCTGAGTCTGACTAGAAGTTCACTCTGAATACCTCTTCTTTGCCAGCAGCATCTTGGAGCAGCATCTGGGATAAGTTCAATTGCCCTGGGGGGTACGAACAAAGGATCAAATTCGGGAAAGTCGTATTTCTGGTTGTAATAGTCGTATTTCTGGTCGTAAAAAATGTGGCCCGCGGCTGTATCTACTTAATGATCCCTGTCCTAGAGTGAAGGAAAATGCCCCCCTGTGGGAAATATGGGCATTGAGGAGAAATCCAAAAATGACAGCGGAAGTTATTGTATTTTGACGAAGGACAAAATATTTCACACCACACTGCCGACTAGTGGTGAAAATATGCACATACAAACTTTTTAAAGAGCAACTGAAGGCGATAAACATCTACAGTGAGGGAAAAAAGTATTTGATCCCCTGCTGATTTTGTACGTCTGCCCACTGACAAAGAAATAATCAGTCTATAATTTTAATGGTAGGTTTATTTGAACAGTGAGAGACTGAATAACAACAAGAAAATCCAGAAAAGGCTGATGTTCGTCAACTCGAACCTTCAGCTCCCTCCACAGATTTTCTATGGGATTAAGGTCTGGAGACTGGCTAGGCCACTCCAGGACCTTAATGTGCTTCTTCTTGAGCCACTCCTTTGTTGCCTTGGCCGTGTGTTTTGGGTCATTGTCATGCTGGAATACTCATTCCACGACCCATTTTCAATGCCCTGGCTGAGGGAAGGAGGTTCTCAACCAAGATTTGACGGTTCATTGCCCCGTCCATCGTCCCTTTGATGCGGTGAAGTTGTCCTGTCCCCTTAGCAGAAAAATACCCCCAAAGCATAATGTTTCCACCTCCATGTTTGACGGCGGGGATGGTGTTGTAGGGGTCATAGGCAGCATTCCTCCTCCTCCAAACACGGCGAGTTTAGTTAATGCCAAAGAGCTCGATTTTGGTCTCATCTGACCACGACACTGTCACCCAGTTCTCCTCTGAATCATTCAGATGTTCATTGGCAATCTTCAGACGGCCCTGTATATGTGCTTTCTTGAGCAGGGGGACCTTGCGGGCGCTGCAGGATTTCAGTCCTTCACGGTGTAGTGTGTTACCAATTGTTTTCTTGCTCCCAGCTGCCTTGAGATCATTGACAAGATCCTCCCGTGTAGTTCTGGGCTGATTCCTCACCGTTCTCATGATCATTGCAACTCCACGAGGTGAGATCTTGCATGGAGCCCCAGGTTGAGGGAGATTGACAGTTATTTTGTCTTTCTTCCATTTGCGAATAATCGCACCAACTGTTTTCACCTTCTCACCAAGCTGCTTGGCGATGGTCTCGTAGCCCATTCCAGCCTTGTGTAGGTCTACAATCTTGTCCCTGACATCCTTGGAGAGCTCTTTGGTCTTGGCCATGGTGGAGAGTTTGGAATCTGATTGATTGATTGCTTCTGTGGACAGGTGTCTTTTATACAGGTAACAAACTGAGATTAGGAGCACTCCCTTTAAGAGTGTGCTCCTAATCTCAGCTCGTTATCTGTATAAAAGACACCTGGGAGCCAGAAATCTTTCTGATTGAGAGGGGGTCAAATACTTTTTTCCCTCATTAAAATGCAAATCAATTTATAACATTTTTGACTTGCGTTTTTCTGGATTTTTTTGTTATTATTCTGTCTCTCACTGTTCAAATAAACCTACCATTATAGACTGATCATTTCTTTGTCAGTGGGCAAACGTACAAAATCAGCAGGGGATCAAATACTTTTTTCCCTCACTGTATGTGGCATCAATATGAGTCATTACAATGTATTCTAGTGTCAAAATTGACTACAAAGTGTAAATAGATAAAACGTGTACTACAAAGTGTAAATATTGGGATGCAAACCAAAAATTGAATACATTTCAACTATATGGTACAGGTGTTTTCTTTTTTTTTGCCCATAACCATGTGTGTGAGGTGTATACTTTTGTTTCAAAGTAGATTTGACTACCAAGAAACAATCTGTGTGACCCTGATTTAGCCAACTGCAGTAAAATGTTATTAATGAGACAACTAAAAGGTGTGCAACCATTTACATTGTGTAATTTATTGACGGTCCCTAACTAGCCCCGAGCTAGACTGTCCAAAGTCAAACCAACTCTGTCACGGTCTCACACCAGCAGGCTGAAGCTAATTGTGGAAAGAAGTTGCCTAGCCTAGGCAACCTCAAGACACAAGGTTAGACTGTTTAAAGTTATCTAGAAGGGTGAGAGACTGTAACTGTGTACTGTTTTGGCACAGTGAATGTACAAACGCTTGCCACGTACGAACACACACACACACACACACACACACACACAAGACAACTCTCCTTTGGCTACAGTCATGGCCGCTGAATTTCTTAATGAGTAAGCTAAAAAACTAGGCCAAATCAGTATGTTCAGCCCCCATTTAATGAACCTTTTTTAGAATGCAGCAAAGAATACAGTGAGTATACCATGAAACCTGTTGTGATTCAACTTGGAGGATAAATAACTAACTGTTAGATAACTTGAATCACTTACCATTTCTCTTCTCTGCAGTACTCTGTCTCAGTGCTGCCATGCAGTGGTGGCTCTACTCTACCCGTTCACCTGGCAGCACACCTACATCCCCGTGCTGCCCCCTGCCATGCTGGACATAGTGTGTACCCCCACCCCCTTCATCGTAGGGCTACTGTCCAGCTCCCTCCCACAGCTCACAGAGCTACCCCTAGAGGAGGTGAGAATACAACCCCTGTCTGGTGCTCAAATCTCAACAGGAGAATATACAGTATGTACTGTCGATATGTTTTGGGGTGCTGTAATCCACAAGGAATTGAAGTTTGATGGCCAGGACTCACACACCCTATCTGCTTTCCCTCCTCCACAGGTGCTGGTGGTTGACCTTAGAAACAGTCGCTTCCTCAGACAGGTACTGTTACTTCACAGATTACCCTGAAATACACAGATTTAGCCTAGTCCTGGACTCAAATGCAGCTTCATTATGTTCACTTCATCTAAGTCTGTGATATTTAGCTAATCATGTATATTGTGTTTCTCTTGAATGTCCATGTCAGCTGGATGATGAGGACTCTATCCTGCCTTCTAAACTCCAGTCAGCCCTAGAGACAGTCCTGGAGAGGAGGAGAGAACTGGCGTCAGAGCGAGGAGGACACAGTCCGAATGGTACAATTATATATTATACTGTTGTGATAACCTGCGCGACTGCTGCAGTCGAGAGCGAGAGAGAGAAAATAGTATCCTTTGATTACTTGTGATTGGCCGACAACAACAACAAGCTACACACGCCATTCTTGTGAAAAGCCTGAGCAGCAGCATAAAGTGGGACTACCCTCTGGCTCTGTGTGTGACGTGGCAAACAAGTTAGGAGATCAATGGAAGATGGAATTCAAATGACAGAATTAAAGTTAAATGAGAAGGATAGGCTACAACGACCAAGAGCCAACAGGTAGGCTGGTACTTAATACTCTGAATGGAGTTGTTGTTGTAATTGTGTAGGACGGAGAAAGAGCAGCCTATGTAGCCTCAGTTAGCCTACCCTGCTAGCTAGCTAGGTAACTAGTTAGCTTATGTAGCTTTTCTTCTGGGTTTGATGCAGTCAAAAAAGGTACTATGTAATCAGATTGATGATAAATAACCTACTTTGGCAGCTTGAAGTTAGAAACTAGTGCGAGTCAGCTTGGTTGCTGCTGTCTCTCTCTCCCTCGGCTCTCGGCTCGTGCATTAACGGCTTAAGTTAATAGCCTACCTTAAAACTTCAATTAAATGCAGAGTCTCAAATAGCCGACTGTCCCTTTTAATAGCCGGACAGCGGCACACATTTCAGCAAATAAACACGTTTCAAATAAACGCTGGCATTTCGCCCTCTAGTGGTGAAAGCAAAGAGGAGGATAATTATTCTGTCAAGGAAACATTTTTTTTCTTCTCGAAATAGAGGCATACTAAGACAAAAGAAACGTGACAGTTTGTAAATGATAACACATTAGTGCAGGAAATGATAGTCCCGTGTGGCTCAGTTAGTAGCGCATGGTGCTTGCAACGCCAGGGTTGTGGTTTTGATTCCCACGGGGGAATATACTTCTCCTGGGCTAAGAAACTCAAAAGGGGTGATAATATTAATTAACAGTAATTTCGATCTGAATGTGCAAATTGTCCAAACAGATACGCAAGGTAGATGGATTATTTTAAATATGTTATTGGACCATAAACAAATACGTCTCATTAACCTTTACGGACCAAATAATGATGATCCACACTTCTTTGAAAAGATATATAATAAATTATCGACCTTGCAAGCAATTCAAGACTCTATTATTATGATGGGAGATTATAATACTGTTTTAAATACCTCAATGGACCGTAAAGGAAATCACACTACAAACAATCACCCTCATGCTCTTAAGGAAATAGTGAAGGTCATGGATACATTAGAACTAGTAGATATATGGAGGCTTAAATATCCTGATCTAGTGAGATATACACTGCTCAAAAAAATAAAGGGAACACTAAAATAACACATCCTAGATCTGAATGAATGAAATAATCTTATTAAATACTTTTTCTTTACATAGTTGAATGTGCTGACAACAAAATCACACAAAAATTATCAATGGAAATCAAATTTATCAACCCATGGAGGTCTGGATTTGGAGTCACACTCAAAATTAAAGTGGAAAACCACACTACAGGCTGATCCAACTTTAATATAATGTCCTTAAAACAAGTCAACATGAGGCTCAGTAGTGTGTGTGGCCTCCACGTACCTGTATGACCTCCCTACAACGCCTGGGCATGCTCCTGATGAGGTGGCGGATGGTCTCCTGAGGGATCTCCTCCCAGACCTGGACTAAAGCATCCGCCAACTCCTGGACAGTCTGTGGTGCAACGTGGCGTTGGTGGATGGAGCGAGACATGATGTCCCAGATGTGCTCAATTGGATTCAGGTCTGGGGAACGGGCGGGCCAGTCCATAGCATCAATGCCTTCCTCTTGCAGGAACTGCTGACACACTCCAGCCACATGAGGTCTAGCATTGTCTTGCATTAGGAGGAACCCAGGGCCAACTTCACCAGCATATGGTCTCACAAGGGGTCTGTGGATCTCATCTCGGTACCTAATGGCAGTCAGGCTACCTCTGGCGAGCACATGGAGGGCTGTGCGGCCCCCCAAAGAAATGCCACCCCACACCATGACTGACCCACCGCCAAACCGGTCATGCTGGAGGATGTTGCAGGCAGCAGAACGTTCTCCACGGCGTCTCCCTACTCTGTCACGTCTGTCACATGTGCTCAGTGTGAACCTGCTTTCATCTGTGAAGAGCACAGGGCGCCAGTGGCGAATTTGCCAATCTTGGTGTTCTCTGGCAAATGCCAAACGTCCTGCACGGTGTTGGGCTGTAAGCACAACCCCCACCTGTGGACGTCGGGCCCTCATACCACCCTCATGGAGTCTGTTTCTGACCGTTTGAGCAGACACATGCACATTTGTGGTCTGCTGGAGGTCATTTTGCAGGGCTCTGGCAGTGCTCCTCCTGCTCCTCCTTGCACAAAGGCGGAGGTAGCAGTCTTGCTGCTGGGTTATTGCCCTCTTACGGCCTCCTCCACGTCTCCTGATGTACTGGCCTGTCTCCTGGTAGCGCCTCCATGCTCTGGACACTACGCTGACAGACACAGCAAACCTTCTTGCCACAGCTCGCATTGATGTGCCATCCTGGATGAGCTGCACTACCTGAGCCACTTGTGTGGGTTGTAGACTCCGTCTCATGCTACCACTAGAGTGAAAGCACCGCCAGCATTCAAAAGTGACCAAAACATCAGCCAGGAAGCATAGGATCTGAGAAGTGGTCTGTGGTCACCAACTGCAAAACCAGTCCTTTATTGGGGGTGTCTTGCTAATTGCCTATAATTTCCACCTGTTGTCTATTCCATTTGCAGAAACAGCATGTGAAATTTATTGTCAATCAGTGTTGCTTCCTAAGTGGACAGTTTGATTTCACAGAAGTGTGATTGACTTGGAGTTACATTGTGTTGTTTAAGTGTTCCCTTTATTTTTTTGAGCAGTGTACATGGTGGAGACTCAATCAAGCTAATAGTCTTGACTACTTTCTTATGTCATTCTCGTTGGCACCAAAAGTTAAAAAAGTATTGATAGGGGACAGAATGCGGTCTGACCATCATATAATTGGCATATACAGTGGGGAGAACAAGTATTTGATACACTGCCGGTTTTGCAGGTTTTCCTACTTACAAAGCATGTAGAGGTCTGTAGTTTTTATCATAGGTACACTTCAACTGTGAGAGACGGAATCTAAAACAAAAATCCAGAAAACCACATTGTATGATTTTTAAGTAATTAATTTGCATGTTATTGCATGACATAAGTATTTGATACATCAGAAAAGCAGAACTTAATATTTGGTACAGAAACCTTTGTTTGCAATTACAGAGATCATACGTTTCCTGTAGGTCTTGACCAGGTTTGCACACACTGCAGCAGGGATTTTGGCCCACTCCTCCATACAGACCTTCTCCAGATCCTTCAGGTTTCGGGGCTGTCGCTGGGCAATACGGACTTTCAGCTCCCTCCAAAGATTTTCTATTGGGTTCAGGTCTGGAGACTGGCTAGGCCAATCCAGGACCTTGAGATGCTTCTCACGGAGCCACTCCTTAGTTACCCTGGCTGTGTGTTTCGGGTCGTTGTCATGCTGGAAGACCCAGCCACGACCCATCTTCAATGCTCTTACTGAGGGAAGGAGGTTGTTGGCCAAGATATCGCGATACATGGCCCCATCCATCCTCCCCTCAATACGGTGCAGTCATCCTGTCCCCTTTGCAGAAAAGCATCCCCAAAGAATGATGTTTCCACCTCCATGGTTCACGGTTGGGATGGTGTTCTTGGGGTTGTACTCATGCTTCTTCTTCCTCCAAACACGGCGAGTGGAGTTTAGACCAAAAAGCTCTATTTTTGTCTCATCAGACCACATGACCTTCTCCCATTCCTCCTCTTGATCTTCCAGATGGTCATTGGCAAACCTCAGAAGGGGCTGGCTTGAGCAGGGGGACCTTGCGTGCGCTGCAGGATTTTAATCCATGACGGTGCAGTGTGTTACTAATGGTTTTCTTTGAGACTGTGGTCCCAGCTCTCTGCAGGTCATTGACCAGGTCCTGCCATGTAGTTCTGGGCTGATCCCTCACCTTCCTCATGATCATTGATGCCCCACGAGGTGAGATCTTGCAAGGAGCCCCAGACCGAGGGTGATTGACCGTCATCTTGAACTTCTTCCATTTTCTAATAATTGCGCCAACAGTTTTATGCCTTCTCACCAAGCTGCTTGCCTATTGTCCTGTAACCCATCCCAGCCTTGTGCAGCTCTACAATTGTATCCCTGATGTCCTTACACAGCTCTCTGGTCTTGGCCATTGTGGAGAGGTTGGAGTCTGTTTGATTGAGTGTGTGGACAGGTGTCTTTTATACAGGTAATATGTTCAAACAGGTGCAGTTAATACAGGTAATGATTGGAGAACAGGAGGGCTTCTTAAAGAAAAACTAACAGGTCTGTGAGAGCCGGAATTCTTACTGGTTGGTAGGTGATCAAATACTTATGTCATGCAATAAAATGCAAATTAATTACTTAAAAATTATACAATGTGATTTTCTGGATTTTTGTTTTAGATTCCGTCTCTCACAGTTGAAGTGTACCTATGATAAAAATTACAGACCTCTACATGCTTTGTAAGTAGGAAAACCAGCAAAATCGGCAGTGTATCAAATACTTGTTCTCCCCACTGTACATTACTCTTACTGAATTTCCACGTGGGCGAGGATATTGGAAATGTAATCAAAGCCTATTGGATGATAACTTGTTTTTAACTAGAACAGAGGAATTTATAACTGATTTTTTCCGACATAACATAGGTACAGCAAATCCCCATAATATCTTATGTTTCACCGAGTCGTGGCTGAACGACGACATGGATAACATACAGCTAGCGGGCTATACGCTACATCGGCAGGATAGAACGGCTGACTCCGGTAAGACAAGGGGTGGCGGTCTGTGTATATTTGTAAACAACAGCTGGTGCACAAAATCAAATACTAAGGAAGTCTCGAGGTTTTGCTTGCCTGAGGTAGAGTATCTCATGATAAGCTGTAGACCACACTATTTA